GGCAGAGGTGGATTTGTTCTACCCGATCGTTTGAATGGGGTTGCGATCGCGTAAGGTTAATTTAGGCAGCTGGAAATTTGTTCACTGTGATCGCGTGGATACGTCCGCGATCGCGTAAGATTGGCCAGTGTGTGTATCGCGATCGCGTGTTATTGTTTGCGATCGCGTAGGGGAAATTTGAAAGGAAGCTGGGCCATGCGTTTGTGCTACGCGATCGCGTGAAGAGGGATGCGATCGGGTAGGGTTAATGTTTGGGCAGAAAATTTGTGCTACGCGATCGCGTGAGGAAGTTCGCGATCGCGTGAGGAAGTTCGCGATCGCGTAGAAGAAATCACTGGGCAGCGAGTTTAAGTTCTGAAAATGGGACTTCGTCCCATTTTTCATTTTTAACGATTTGGAGCTCGGATTTAGGCAATTTTTGGGATATTTTCAGAGAAAACAACGGGGTAAGTGTTCCTAACTCAATATTGGTTAAATTACTCGAATCCATCACTATTTTTATTATTTAATTGGTGAATTGAGTTGGAAAAGTTTGAAAACCCTCTTGGATATATTTGAGGATTTGAGGGCCGAATTGTTATCGAAATTTAATGATTTTGGTATGGGTAGACTCGTGGTTGAATGTGTGTTCATATTTTATAACTTTCACCGGATTCCGAGACGTGGGTCCCACAGACGAATTTTTAATTAATTTCAGAATTTTTTTTGCAAATGTAGTATTTTCTTATAGAATTGATTCCTATAATTTTTAGTGATTGTATCGATTACTTTTGGCTAGATTCGAGCCAGACATAGTTGGATAATCGTGGAAAAGGCCTTATAGTGGATTAAATTGGAGAAAGACGAGGTAAGTCTCTTGTCTAATCTTGTGAGAGAAAAATTACCTCATAGGTGATTAAAATTAAATAATTATTGCTAATTGTGGGGGCTACGTACGCACGAAGTGACGAGAGTCTGTGCGTAGCTACTATTAATGCTAAAGTCCGGGTAGTTTAGAACTCAAAGTATGAATTATTTGTGTAAATTATATTCTTTATTTAATTAATATTATTTGATATATACATATATTGTGAATTATTAGATAAAAATATTAAAGGATGAAAATCTCATATACTTGATTTTCTGTTTAAATTAATTAATTGTTTAGAGAAATTGTTCTTCTTCCCAAATTTATCTTATAATAAATATACTCTCCTTCCGGATGTACATAAGAAAATATCTTCCTTTCTTGTGTAGCGGGCCGAACGCCTCGGCAGGATAAATGCATCTATGGATCGCGCCGCATGTCCCTCGACAGTGTACACGACACTCTGGATCGGGTCGTACGTCCTCGGCAGAAATCATGCTTAATAATAATAATCACACGATACCTTAATAGCTTATTTCAGCTTGCGTAGCTAATTGATAAAATTAAAAATCCTTAAAATTTAATGAATTATTATGCCTGCTTGTTAATAAATTAATTGTTATTCATGTAAATGAGATTTAATTAATATATTGAGAATTGTTGCAATTAAAGAAATTTGATTATTTTTGCTGGTTAAATAATTTATTGTAAATTTTGTAAATCATGTTGATTTAAATATTTTAGTCGTATTTCTATTATAATTATTATTGACCCATAGTGAGTATCAAAGTCGGCCATCTCGTCTCTACCACTTTGAGATTAGGCTTGATACTTACTGGGTACACATTGTTTATGTACTCATACTACAGTTGCTGCACTTTTTGTGCAGGACCTGAGGCAAGTACTAGTGGGGGACCTATCGTCTTACACCTACGCTATCCAGGGGCATAGTGGTGAGCTGCCTTTCTGAGCCGTTCTGCAGCTACTAGTGTCTCTTCTTGTATCTTTTTATTCTGTCTATTTTATTTCAGACAGTAATTGAGGTTTTGTATAACCTACTAGATGCTCATACACTTGTGACACCAGGTCTTGGCACACACATTGGTAGAATTTGGGCTTTTATTATTTTTTTTGGTTTTAAATTTTGTCAATATATGCTTAATTTATTAACTGGGCTTGCCTAACTGTAGTGTTGGGCGTCATCACGACTTATAGGTAAAATTGGATCGTGACACATTCATCCTTAATTAAAGGTTTAGAATTCGAGCATTATATATGAAGTTGCATTTGGTATGAAATGCTATATCCCCAAATGGGATTTTCAGTCATCAATTCAAATTCGTTTGACTCCTTAGAGCAAGGACTCATTGGCTTATTCTTCCCTTAACATCCAAAAAATGAAAAGAAAAGTCAAGAGATAGATTATCTATCAATTTAATTTCTTATGATCCATTTATTATAACTTTTTTTATCCATCACTTTTGATATCAGTTATAGCCAGTTTGACCAAGTTTCTTCAAGTTGAAAAACACTTCTTCTTCTTTTTCAAAAAGTATCTTTTTTTTGAAAGTTGAAGTGTTTGGCCAAGCATTTAGAAGAAGAAAAAAAAATATTTTTGAGTATAAGCAGAAGCAATTTTGGAGAAGTAGAAAAAAAGTAGTTTTTTTCTAGAAGCATTTTTTTTTTAGAAACACTTTTGAGAAAAATACACTTAGAAACACTTTTTAAAAGCTTGGAAATGCTAATTGATGCTTAGAAGTGCTTTTTAAATTAATTAGCCGCACATAATTTATTTCTCACCAAAAATACTTTTATTAAAAACTATTTTTGAAAAAAAATACTTCTCAAAATAAATTACTTTTTTCAGTTTGGCCAAACACGCTATTAGCCTCAACCATTTACTATTTGAAGAATTAGATTTATTGGTTCCTTTGACTGCATAATTCTACCAAATCCGATAACTATTTGAAATATAATCCTCTAAGTTATAATTGATCTGAAATTAGATTAATAGCATGTTTGGCCAAGATGGAGAAATCAGTTTATTTTGAGAAGTGCTCTTTTCAAAAGTGCTTTTGATATATGTACTTTTGGAGAGAAGCAGTTTGTGTTTGGCTAATCACTCTGAAAAGCACTTTTGAGCAATAATTTATGTTTGGCCAAACTTTTCAGAAAGTGCTTTTAAGTATCAAATTACGAATAAGGACATGAATAGATTTACTTAATAGTTAATATTTTAAGTAAATAAATAATCTTTAAAATTTGTTATTACAGGAAATAATTAAATCTTTTTATTTTATTTAAGTAAAATACGAAAATAAAATTTAAAAGTACTTAATTATTTTAATATAAGTTAAATATATTAAAAATTATTTAACAAATATAAAATCATTCACCCCTAAAATCACTATATATTAGAAAGGTATCCTAAAAATAATAAAAAATATTTATACATTAATATCCTAAGTATTAGGTTTAACGGTTATTTTGATATATATTATATTTTGTTAAGAGTATTTTTGGTAAGAAGAAAAGTCAAAACTGCTTCTGCTTCTGTTTTTAGGAAGAAACTATTTTTTTCTACTTCTCAAAAAATGTTTCTGCTTCTTCCCAAAAGCACTTTTTTTCCGCAAAAAAACTTGGCCAAACACCTCAAGTTAGGAGAAAAAAAGTGCTTTTAAGAAGAAAAAAAAATACTTTTGGGATAGAAGCTTGGCCAAACAAGCTATAAGTCAAAAAAAAAGAGCCTATCATTACATATCTATTTTCTCACTTTAAAAATACCGAGAATGAGAAAAACTATAGGTCTGACAAAAAGAGGGAAAACACAGCTTACATAGGGTTGGCCACGTTAATTATGTTACTTAATTGAATGTTAATTCAAATCCTATTTGGCACTCAAATTTGCCACTTATGCTCAAATGGAACAATTTGTATTAAAAGCGAACCCTTTCTCATTTCTTAACTATGACCAATGAATTAATTAGTTCAATTCTGTGCACTAATAATAGTAATAATTTTTACACTATCAACTTAAGTTAAGAGTTATTTTTGATACCAAGAAGGAGAATAATAATATGTTATAGCTAGTTCAACTATACGAATACGTAATAACATAAAAATTTTATTACATTGCTAGTATTTATTAGTATAACTTATTCAATTAAAAGAAACGAAGGAAAAAAAAGGGAAGAAATGTTGGTGCTTACACGTAAATGTGTCTTCAGAACCAAATTATCTATATAACGTGGCATTAGATTAAACCCTTAAAATCTACTATTTCAAAATAAACCTCTTATACTCTAAACCAAAGCCAAATTGAACTGTTTTTTTTTCAACTTCTTTTTTAAGAAATAATTAAGTAAATAAGAATATGCTCTATCAAATAGCTTATATATTGTTTAAATGATAAGGTCACGCCTTTCAATATAGTAGATTGAGAGAAGACAGAAGTCCTGAGTTTAAGTCTTACCGTTACTTATTATAAAATAAAAAAAGTTTTACGCATATTTGACTCATAAAAAAGAATCAAGTCCGAGTGAATGGGTGTATTATGGAAAATAGTTAAGTAAATAAAAGTTAACTCTTTATAACAGGTTACGACTTTTAAATAAAATGATCTCACACACTTCCAACTCCCGAAACCTATGTGGAAAAAAATTCACTACTACAAAAATAGAAATTAACGACTGACAAATTCTGCAGCTAAACAGAAAAAATTCAATTAGCGACACATTATCTAAAAATATTGTTAGCTACGAGCTTGTTACACAAATAGCTGGCCAGATTCACTATTTACTTTTTCTAGCCGGTAAACATAGATTATACATAGTTATACATATATTATACATATATTATATATGCATCGGCTATTTTTAGTTTAAGAGATTAGGTGTGTGGCTATTTAGATTAATTAAATTTGTACCTTATTTCAGTTTTTTAAGTGATTGGTCAAAAAGTTTGAAGATGATAACAAGATTTTTAACATTTTCTTGAGTAATATAGTTGCTTCTAGTCCACTTAATGACAAAAAATAAAACTCACAAATGGAAAAGAAAGAAAGAAAGAGAAGAAGAATGGAAGAGAAATGAGAGGTCTGAAATTGCCAGCCTTACATTCTTCTGATATACATACCATGTACAAACAAGAAAAATGCTAAAAGCTCTTAGGCTATGGGTTGGATTGTGTATTACCTTATCCTATCTCCAAAAAAATAAAACCCCTCTTTATTTTTCTCCTATTTCTCTCTTTTCCTATATCCTCTTAGTTATACTCTCAAGAACAACAAAGTGAAAAAACAAAACAAAAAAAAAAATCATAGTCTTATTCTTTCCCTTACCTTAATTTTTCATTCATAATATTCTTCTTATCTTGCTTCTTTTAAGTTCTCTTCTACTAATAAAAAGCTTCCATTTGCATTTTCTTGATATATATGAAAATGGATTTTCATTATTCTTATTCCTCATGTGAATATATGGGAATTTGAAATTCTTTGTGTATTGCTAGTGTTATTCATTTGTGTAAGATTTTATTGGAAAAGAATTCGAACACGCCGCGTTTTACTGGGAAGTTTGAGGAAGAGAAATAATGGCTCCTAAAACTGGAAAAAATAAGCCACACAAAGTTAAGGGGGAGAAGAAGAAGAAAGAAGAGAAAGGTATTTGTGCTATCTACCTTATCTTATTATCTTGAATAGATTTTCATGGCTTTTTCCCTTTGTCTTTTCCTATTTATCAAAATTTTAATCAATGACTTGAATAAATTGTTTTACTATGGAGTTTTACCATCTTTTACATTTTTCTTCATGTTTAGTAAGTTTCCAAATTAGTCATGTTTCTAACTTTTTATGTCTTCTTTTTCTAAACCAATGTAGTTTGCAGTAAAATTGCAATATTTTTTTTTAATTCAATTACACTTGAACTCCTAATTTATGAATAAAATAATTTTTAAAATTATTTCTTCTCAAGTCCACCACGTTATATTAAAATATTACTTCGCGGTTCAAGCTATCTCATCACTTCAAAAATTCACCTACCACATGCCAACTTTTTATAAGTGTTTAGGTTATATACACTGATTGTGTAAAAATATGAAAAGAAATAAGTTTTTGATAAGGTAAACAAAATATTTATAATAAATATTAATTAGTTACAATCATAAAATCAACAACAATAACATACCCAGTATTATCCCACACTGTAGGGTCTGGGTAGGGTAGTGTGTACGCAGACCTTATCCCTACCTTGTAAGGATAGAGAAGTTGTTTTCAATAGACCTTCGGCTCAAGAAAGCATAAGCACTACATTAATAAAAATATAGATAAGAAGGGACAGTACCAAAAAGCCGTATACAAGCAGAATAAAAATAACAAGATAGTAAGGTGATCAACAATGAAAGAAAACAACGGTTAGTCATAAAAACCTACTACCAACAGAAAGCAAGACTACATGTCAATACTACTGTTATGAACACTCTAGACTAACTCAATTGTTATTACTTGTTAAACTATATTAGTAGTAAAAAATTCTCTATTGTCAGGGTATATAATTTAAATCTCGAAACGAAATCATTGTTCATGCAACGACTATATATATTAATATATTTATTTATTTATTTGGCTTTTCTACTGTATTTTCTTTTATAACTTTGCCGGTGTTAATTCTTGAATTACAGTTTTGCCAAACGTTATAGAGATAACGGTGGGAACACCTGAAGATTCGCAAGTGTTGCTTAAGGTAAAGTTACAATGACAGTTAATTTTTAACGGTAGTTCGTTGAAAAAAGGAAAAGAAAATTAACGGTAGTTGGAAGAGAATAATATGGTGCACGTATATGACTTTTGTCAAAATTACAATCGTTGACTTTAGGGAATATCAACGGACAAGATCTTAGATGTGAGAAAGCTCTTAGCCGTCAATGTGGAGACATGTCACGTGACCAATTACTCCTTGTCACATGAGGTAACATTTTATAATTTATTTTCTTTTCTTTTGGATATTTTACTCTTAAATTAGATATTGCATGTCATTTTCATCTTCCATTCAGAAAATAATTCATTTTTTGGAAAAAATGCAACCAAAAAAAATTTGCTTTATCATGTGGCACTGAGCCATTTAATTGTAGAAACAAGTTTGCTAGAGTAAAATAATAATAAAAAATTGTATAATTAGGTTCAATTTGTTACAAATTAATATTAAAGAAAATGATTGATGTAAAGAGCTTTATGAAAATTAAGTGGTTAAAATATAATTGTGTTTATTAAACCATAATTTTATCCAAATAAAAAGGCAAGGTATCTGTTTTACTGCGTTAGGTATCAACACGACAACACTATGGTTTTTCAACCTAAATGGTTAGTATTTGATTATATTTCAAATGTTTCTAAATTTTTAAATTATAAATGTTAAAATATTTTGAAGCATTTTTAAACTCCTACTACTCTCATACTATATTGAAGTGCAGAATATCAAATGTTATTTATTTTAAAAATTATATCTTTCACTTTTTATTCTCAGAGTTCTCTCGTTTCCTGGTAAGGAATTATATTATACTATCAAATATCAGTAATAAAATTAATTTATACGAATCAATGTTGATTAACATTATAGTAAGTTTATTATCATACTTTCTAAGTAATCAAAACTTTATTAATGTAAATAATTATATCTGTAATTAAGTTTTACTTAATATGATAAATTTTAAAAATTTAAATGGTTAAACTCTTTTTTATATAGATAAATAGAAAATAATGGTGCCATTTTGGAAAGGGACAGGTGCGAGGAACAAGGCTAAAAGATACAGTGGAGATTGTTTCGCTCAAACCGTGCCACCTCAGCCTGGTCGAAGGTACTATTCTCTATGCTTTCGGTCCCACCTGATATGCAGTACTAACAAAATGCGAAAATATATATATATAAAGAGTAATATTTAATTTATATATGCAGTATAATTTGTCAAAAAAAGTAATAGCTACACCTTTAGGGCTCGTTTGGTACGAGGGATAATAGATAACTAATCCCGAGATTAAATTTGAGATGAATTTATCCCACGTTTGATTGAAATAAAATCACGGTATAACTAATCCGGAGATTAGTTATTCCGATATTGTGGTATTAATTTTATCCATATAGAATGATGAAATAGCAATCCCCAAATAACTAAATCCGAGATAATTAGTCCTAGGATAACTTGTTTCCAACCAAACGATCCTTTTGAAATCTTTATAACAATTTTAGGTTCAAAATTTTTGGGCGGCATATATTTTTGAAAACTATACTTTGAAGTTTTCGAAAGCCAAATGTGCAAACTCAAAGTTAGTTTTTAATTTCTTGAAGGATTAATGTGTTGAGTCTAAAGATCTTTTGCCGCTTCTTTTTTGTTAAATTTTGAAATTTTCAAAACAATGTTACCTAAAGTCATGAAAGATAATGTTGCGGTCACTAATAATTTTTCGTAAAAAATAAATGTGAATACTCATATATTTTCTAAAATAACTAACTGCATGAGTTTGTAGTGGAGCATTGCAGTCAAGAATGTAAGTCCAAACCTAAGATGGCCCAAGTGATTGAGTTTATGTCATAATTTGTGGCAACGAGCACGTAGAATTTTAACGTGACAGAGGCATCACTATTCACCTCAACCAATGCCTCATAAAAGTTTTTAATGTTCAGGATGCCAAGTTATTTATATAATGATATTCAGTATATATCTATATTATTATAAAAGTATAAATACAATGTTGGTTTACAAAAATAACCTTATAATATTAAGCATAATAATTAATGATAAAAGGATATAACCGGAATTGTAGATATTAGCCTTATAATACTATTAGTTTTAGGATATAATACTACACATTAGGAATCATACATGATTACCTTTAGGAATCCTATTAATATAATTACTCTCGGGCTTAGGATATACTTCTTAAAAATTTCTATTACTAATTTAATTTAAAAACGTATTATAATGTCCAATTACTAATTTAATTTGAGAATGTATTATATTGTCCAAATCCATTTAGAAAAAATGAGAGCATATATTATTATAAAATCATAAATATAATATTAATACATCAAAATAGCCCTAAAATATGAAACAAAAGAACTCATAGGGAAAAGACATTACTGCAATAACCTATTTTTTGGACTATAATACCTTCTATGCCAATTTTTAATATTTAAGATTTTAAATTAATAAAACTTTGTCTATTAAATTCTCATTACAAATATGTAGGAAGTTTTAATAAAATTAATTTCATAAGAATCCTTCGTATTGGCAATACATTACCACTACATAATGTCCAATACAAAGAAAAAATAAAAGTAATATTAAATAGACTGCATAAAGAGTTGAAATTGAGAAAATAATATCCCCACAATAATATATTTTATTTTATATCTGAACTATTTTTCTACTCAAATAATATTTTTTAATCAATTTTTCGTGTAATATTGAAAAATACTCAATTACTAAACAACAACTAAGAAAATATTTAAGAATATAAATGTGCGAGAAAGAGAAAAAAAAGGTTGGTAAGAGTCAATACCACTAATGATTCTACAATCATAAAGATCTAAAAGTGAAATATCTTATCAATCTTTTACTCTTTGAAAATAAAATTTATGGTGGATAAAATTATAATTAAGATTAAATATTCAAAACAAGAGATGAACAAATATTAAGATCTGAATCAACATAGAATAAATTATTTTTTATGTTAAAATCAAATAATTAAATCTTTTAATTAATTATTTAGCAAAAGAATCCAATTCAATTATTTCTTAAATTCATCATATGAGTAAAATTCTTATTCAAGTTAAAAAAAATCTTAGGGTATATAAATTTATTCCATAAAAAGAGCATTAGAACACAAAGTAAAAATGTAGTATATTATTAAGAATCAAAATGCTATACAAGTATATGAGGAAGCACAATCAAGGCTATATCCTAAACAAGAACAAGCTTTCAAAACTATATTATAAAGAGTCGACTCTGGTATAACGAAATTATTCTTTGTAGATGCCTCCAGCGAAATCGAAATAATATTTCAATGTCATGAATTACTTGCAAGTATCATATCAAGAGACATGACATTGTTAGCAATAATAGCAAGTGGTGTACCAACAACGATTTTATTGTGAGGCCACCCACTTTAGATTTGATATACATCTTCAAACAACTTAAATAACTATCACAAATATATCAAATCAGAGCAATTGTGCTAAATTTATAAGGAAAGCAAAATCGATAATATGGGATGAAGCACTTATAGCTAAGTGTCAAACGATCGAAATAATTGCCCGGAGTTCTAGAAATATATTGGATATTAATGAATCATTTGTGAAAAATTAATGGTTTGGAATGTGATTTTTGTCAAGTAATACCAGTAGTTTCAAAATCGACAAAAGCCGAGACTTTAAAAGCTAGCTTGCCAAAGTTATACTCTGGCATCAAACAAAAAAGATTCAACTGACAAGAAATATAAAGTAAGAATAGATCCAGTATCCAGTATCTTTTTGCTTCGTGTCGGAAATGAAGAAGAGCATCCAATAAAATATGATTTGGTTCTTCCTGAACATTTGATTATCAATCCCAATGGTAATAGTAGTGCATTTAATAAGAGAAATATTTCTATCATTAGATTTTGTGCAAATTGCATGATAGAATTAAAAAAGAATCTTAACTAGCAGAAATGAATATTTCGATCAACTAAATAAAAGGTTGATTGCAAAATTTTATAGTAAAAATAAAATATTTTTTAATTTTTGACTCAGCAGAAAATGATACCAATAATTACTACAAAGAAGAATACTTAAATACTTTAATACCAAATGGTATTCTACCATACATGTTTGTTGTCAAATTTCTTATTTCTTACGTATGTTAGAGTCACGGTATATATAATATACTAAGTTAAAATTGATCTTTCATTGTATATAGGTTAATTTTGAAGAAAACATATGTCCGACATGCTACTGAAAAACTTAGATACGCTAAATAACTTATGTAATAGCACACATATGGTATATAGAAGTTTTGACAATAACGTCATAGATGCAAAAATTATGATATTGGCTAATGTGCTACTAAGTATATTCGTATCCCTCAATTAAACTTCCGTCTTACGAAACTAAGGAATATCATTTTAAATTTGTGTGAAAATAATTTTTAGTATGTTTATGTTTTGCACTAATAAATAAAGCATAAGGACAAACATCATAAATATTGGACTATATTTACCGCAATATGTTTTCTTGCATGAACAACTGTATGTTACACTTTCAAGAGGGATATCAAGATCGACAACAAGAGTTCTGGTTAAGACAGAGCAACCAACGCATTACGAGGAAACATACACAAATAATTATTATCCACAAAGAAGTGTTCGTTAAGATACCATCATATTAAATACTTTTAAACTATAATATATAGTTATCTAACTAACTTGACAAAATTGATCGTTTTGTGTAAGTTTTGATGATGTCCTTTTTATTTTAAATTCATGTATTATGCTAATGTAATAATATTTTTCGGCATTTAAATGATTGTTGTTTTATTATACATAAAATTTCTCTCATTAATGAAATTGTATTGTTCCTTCTTATAAATAAATATTTAAATTATCACGTGTCATTATTAATGTGCAATGCACGTTCATAGATACTAATATATATATGCAAGATTTCTGCCGAAGTTTATGACATTCGATAACCCCTAAATATTACTCATAGGTCCGCCTTTGGCTTGCATTAGTGTTACACAAAAAATATGCTAGCATTAATTAACATAATGTAACTTTCTTATTTTATATGACATTTCTTTTTATACTTAGTATGACACTATTCATATTTTAATATAAATATAATTTTCATAACTTTCAAAGTATTAAAATCTAATTAAATACAAAAAATATGCTAGCATTAATTAACATAATGTAACTTTCTTATTTTATATGACATTTCTTTTTATACTTAGTATGACACTATTCATATTTCAATATAAATATAATTTTCATAACTTTCAAAGTATTAAAATCTAATTAAATTTTCTTTTATTTTATTTATTGTGCAGAGGATTATACAGAAGAACAATCAGTGGCTCATATTAGAAGACTTCTGGACATAGTGGCCTGCACCACTTCTTTCGGCGGTTCATCTTCTTCACCCAAACCGACCGGCCGAACCGGTTCAACCGAACCCGGTCCAGAAAATGCCGAATCAAAATCAAGCAAGCCCAAAAGCCAGGAACCGAAAAAGGCGGCCGGTTCACCTAAGGCCAAGCCGTCGAAACCAGATGCCACCGCCGTATGCGGCGGCGAAGACGCCGGCGACTCGGCGGAGAAAGGCGACCCAGCAATGATGTGTCCCCCACCCCGGTTGGGACAGTTTTATGACTTTTTCTCCTTTGCTCATCTCACCCCTCCAATCCAATGTGAGTTTTAAATTTTAATTCTATATTTTTTTTGTAATATGTAACTAAGTTTACTAATTTTCATTATTGGGTTTATGCTATATATGCTTCATCCGTTTTTCAGTTCATGTGACATACTTTGACTCAATGCTGTATATAAGATTGAAAGGAAAGATTTTTGAAACTTGTAATATTAAATACGTCATCTCTTTGTTTTGGATAAAATGAAAAATTTGAAGTTAAATTATTTTTTAATTATAAAAATATGTTATTCTTTGTTGAATGGAGAAATAAAAAAATAGTGTGATATAAACTAGAATGAAGGGAGTGTTTTTTTTATTATTTGATTAACAAAAAAGTCTTCAACTTTTCGTTTCAGTTTTTTTAATTTGTGAAATTAGTGAAAATGTAGAGTTAAAGGTTACATCTTCAAGTTATTAAAAAGTTGAGAAGAATACCCTTTCTATTGTTTTTAAAATGGGGTGCAAAGAAATAAATAGTTCAATTTATTGGATCTGGAAATGCACGGGAGAGTCTCTCTACCTTCTAGGTAGGGGTAAGGTGTGCGTACACATTACCCTTCTCAGGCCCACTTGCGGGATTACACTGGGTTTGTTGTTGTTGTTGGTAATTTGTTGTTTGATTTATGCAGATATTAGGAGATCAAGTCGACCATTCCTTGAGGATAAAACAGAAGATGATTTTTTCCAAATAGATGTGAGCTTTCTTTGTTTTAAATATAATGTGGCAAGGTTTGCAAATAGTGAGGGTTCTTAAATTTTAGAACTCTATCTATATGGAGTCATTGTTTTGAATAATGATTCTTGAAATATATTACAGGTCCGGATTTGCAGTGGCAAGCCAACAACCATTGTTGCTTCTCAGACGGGTTTCTATCCTGCTGGAAAACGCGCTCTTTTGTGTCACTCTTTGGTTGGATTATTGCAACAATTAAGTCGAGTTTTTGATGCTGTGAGTAAGAATGTGTTTTCTTAAAACTTTTATCGTCTATCGAACCTACAAAGGTTCAGTATGTAGTGGCCAGTGGCGGAGCTAGAATTTTCACTAAAAGAGGTTAAAATATAAAGAAGTAAACCTATAAAGAAGCCAAGAAGAGTCAATATATAGCATATATATACATGTATGTGTCGCTTTGCGACATCTGAGGCTCCAAGGCCATTTTGCATTCGCGGCCATGCGGTTTACATTTGCGAGCTGCACAATTGCGAACAAGAGTTCGCAATTGCGGTATCTGCAGGTGGGTAAAAATAGAGGATTTCGAAATTAGCTCATTTTATTCCATTTTTGAGATCTAGATTTCACCTAGTGGCAATGACTATATATTCCATTTCATTGTTAACTGTTTGTTTGTTCCAGGCATACAAGGCTCTCATGAAAGCTTTCACCGAGCACAATAAGGTTAGTAACATTTGAGATTATCTTGGTTTCAAGAATGTAAAAAACAATGAATGCTCAAGAATGGTTATCTTTTCTTACAGTTTGGGAACCTTCCTTATGGTTTTCGAGCGAACACATGGGTTGTCCCTCCGTTTGTTACTGACAATCCAGCTACTTTTCCTCCACTTCCGATGGAAGATGAGAATTGGGGAGGAAATGGAGGTGGACAAGGAAGAGATGGCAAACATGATCATAGGCCATGGGCAAAGGAATTTGCTATTCTTGCAGCTATGCCTTGTAAAACGGCGGAAGAAAGGCAAATACGAGATAGGAAAGCGTTTTTACTTCACAGTCTATTCGTCGATGTGTCAGTTCTCAAAGCTGTTGCTGCCATAAAGCATCTAGCGGACAACAGCCAAAATGGAACAAATCAGTCCAGTTCATACGAGGAAAGAATTGGAGATCTTCTAATCAGTGTGACAAAAGACATCTCAGATGCAAGCAAGAAATTGGACAACAAAAATGATGGGAATCAGGTCCTGAGCATGTCCGCGGAGGAGCTTGCAAAGAGAAATTTGTTAAAAGGCATAACTGCAGATGAGAGTGCTACAGTTCATGTCAGTTTGAATATAAATTTGTTTTCTCTTTCGTCATTTATCTGCAAGTAGATTTTGTTTATCTTATGATGTTATTTTTTCGTTTTTATTTGTAGGATACTTGTACCTTGGGTGTAGTGGTTGTTAGACACTGTGGCTACACAGCTATTGTAAAAGTTGCAGCTGAGGTGAACTGGGGGTCTAATCCCATTCCTCAGGACATTGAAATTGATGACCAGGCGGAGGGAGGTGCCAATGCATTAAATGTTAACAGGTCAGTTGAGTTAACCAGAATCAGATACCAATAAGATTAAGGGATAATTTCTTGGGCCGCCCAAAACAATAATAGCTGGCAAATGTATATGTTTTGTATATTACGTTTAAATATACATATAATATAGATAAATATACATAAATGTACATATAATATACATATCATATACATAGTCAGTGCATATATTTTGGATATTTGGGCTACTGCCTGTATTTGAATCAGTTTGGATTCATGGCGGGGCGATCGATTATGGAAGCCATTCATCTGGTGAGGAGATTGGTAGAGCAGTATAGGGAGAGAAAGAAGGACCTATACATGGTGTTTATAGACCTAGAAAAGGCGTATGATAAAGTCCCGAGTGAGGTTTTGCGGAGATATTTGGAGGTTAGCGGCGTTCCGGTAGCATACACTAGGATAATCAAGGACATGTATGATGGTGCTAAGACTTGGGTGAGGACAATGAGAGGTGACTCGAATCTCTTTCCAGTAGTGATGGGGTTGCACCAGGGATCGACTCTTAGCCCGTTCTTATTTGCTCTGGCGATGGATGTGCTGACTCGGCACATTCAAGGGGAGGTGTCATGGTGCATGTTATTTGCCGATGACATAGTGCTGATTGATGAGACGAGAAGCGGGGTTAACGCGAGGCTGGAGGTCTGGAGACAGACCCTAGAGTCTAAAGGTTTCAAGTTAAGTTGGACCAAAACAGAATACTTGGAGTGTAAGTTCAGTGACGAGACTTATGAAGCGCACGTGGATGTGAAACTTGATACCCAAGTCATCCCGAGGAGGGGTAGTTTCAAGTATCTCGGGTCTATATTTCAAGGTAACGGGGAGATTGATGATGAGGTCTCCCACCGTATCGGTGCGGGGTGGATGAAATGGAGGCTCTCATCCAGTGTTTTGTGTGATAAGAAGGTGCTACCAAGACTTATGGGTAAGTTCTACAGAGTGCTGGTTAGACCTACTATGTTGTATGGGGCTGAGTGTTGGCCAGTAAAGAACTCCCATGTTAAAAGGATGAAAGTAGCAGAAATGAGGATGTTGAGATGCATGTGTGGGCATACAAGGAGAGATAAGATTAGGACCGAAGTTATTCGGGACAAAGTAGGAGTGGCCCCCGTGGAGGACAAGATGCGGGAGTTGAGGCTGAGATGGTTCGGGCATGTGCAGGGTAGGAGTACGGATGCTCCTGTTAGGAGGTGTGAGAGGTTGACCGTGGCAGGGCTAAGAAGGGGTAGAGGTAGGTCGGGGAAGTATTGGGGAGAGGTGATTAGGCAGGACATGACGCTACTTCAGCTCATCGAGGACATGACTCGGGATAGAAGGATGTGGAGGTCGAAGATTAGGGTTGTAGGCTAGTAGGTAGTCGAGAGTTCCCCGTTCTTTTTAGTAGTATTAGTAGCTCTCTTGTTTTTTTTTCGTATTCTTTGACCTCTAGTATTTGCTTATTGTTTCGTTCACTCCGTGTTTCGTATTTTCCTGTTTGTTACTATTTGATGCTACTTTTTCTTTTACTTCTTGTTTTGTTGTTGTTGTTATTGTTGTTGCTGTAGTTGTCTTTTCCCCCTTTTCCTTATCGTCATTTGTCCCCCTATTCTTTCTTTCTTCTTCGTCTTCTTCCTTTCCCTCTCTTTTCACCTTTTCTTGAGCCGAGGGTCTATCGGAAACAACCTCTCTACCTCTCCAGGTAGGGGTAAGGTCTGCATACACACTACCCTCCCCAAACCCCACTTGTGTGATTGTACTGAGTATGTTGTTGTTGTTGTAGGGCTACTGCCTGTATTTATTTTGGGCCCCGGGCCAAAAATGAAAGAAGTCATCAGATTAATGTATGTACTTCAGCCAATTGTTTCTGATTTTCATGAAATATTTTCCTAACTGTATTCTTCATTTTGGTGCAGCTTGAGAATGCTATTGCACAAGTCATCAACACCTCAGTCATCTAGCCAAGTCCATAAATTACACGGTGCAGATGTCGAAGACGTTGTGGCTGCTAAGTCTTTAGTAAGCCAGGTGCTCGGTGAAAGCTTGCACAAATTACAGGAAGAAGAAAGCAAACAACTGAAATCTATTAGATGGGAGTTGGGTGCATGTTGGGTGCAACATTTGCAAAATCAGGCCTCCGGGAAAGCTGAGTCAAAAAAAGCTGAAGAAGCTAAAGTAGAGCCAGCGGTAAAGGGTCTTGGGAAGCATGGTGGCCTGCTGAAGGATATTAAGAAGAAATCGGATGACAAGATTTCAGGAAAGGAAGTTTCTTCAAGTGACACTAACAAGAAAGAACTAGAGAAACAAGATGAGGAAACAGAGATTCTTTGGAAAAAGGTGCTACCTGAAGCAGCATATTTGCGCCTAAAGGAATCAGAAACTGGTCTTCACCTTAAGGTGTGTAGCAATTTTTGTTGTTACAAGTAACTTTTGCAAGAGGTGATCATATCCAGTTCTTAAAACTAAGTTCTGGTTCTGTTTATTTTGTCAGTCACCTGATGAGTTGATCGATATGGCACATAAATACTACGCTGATACTGCCCTTCCAAAACTGGTTAGTGTGCCTCTATATACTTTGCATGTCTATCCTGCTTCAAAATTGAACTAACGCTTGCTGGTTGCAATATTTGAACTTCTGAAAGGTTGCTGATTTCGGGTCGCTGGAGCTTTCACCTGTCGATGGAAGGACACTGACAGATTTCATGCACACCAGGGGTTTGCAAATGTGCTCCTTGGGGCGCGTGGTAATTGCTTCAGGCCTTACATTTAGTGCAATAAATCTATGAAAGAATGTCCTTTCCAACTTTATTAGTGCAGTCCCCAGCCCCTAATTTTTCCTATATTCTATAGTAAGGGAAGTATAGGTTTCTATTAACTACAACTTAGGAGTTCTCTAAATCTATGTTACTCGGACTCTCCAAAAATGTCGCCGGGTGCGTGTAGGATCTTCCAAATGTACTGTATTTTTAGAGGATCCGACACGGGTGTGGCAGCATTTGAAGAGTTCGCACAACATAGCTCTAAATCGGACACTTATTCTTGCATTGACAAACAAGTATTGAATTAGACTAGAAAGGACCCTAGCTATATCAGGATCTAATAATAGTGCAGCAACAGTACTACGCCTTATTCCCAGCAAGTTGATATCACCTATATGGATCCTTTCCTTTCATTATATTTTGTCTTTCTCAAAGTTCGCCGATTTGATTGGTCTTTTGAGACAACTTCCCTCCATATGATTAACCTGCCTCATAACAGCAATAGCAATACCTTAAAACTCTCTCGTTAGCAGAGTCAGAAACTCTGACCTTTCTAGCTTTTATCCTTTTGGAGAGTCTTATGTGAATAAGAATTGGCTTCAAGAGAAACCAAGTTTTCCTCGAAAAAGAGATTTTACCAAGTTTCTTTACTCCATGTTACAGCTTAAATTCTTTTCTATTGGCTTATTTTAAATCAGTAAATAGGCTCTTTGAGAATCCTGTTCTATAGAATATTGAACAGCGACAGAGGAGTTGAGGGAAGGGAAAGTGGGAACTGTTATTCTCTTTGATGTCTTCTTGGTAGAAATATTGTTCCAACTTCTAAGTTTTATTTTAATTTCTAAGGTTGATATTTAGCATTACTTTCTTTTACTAACCTTTTTTGCTTCTGATGTTAGGTGGAACTTGCAGACAAGCTTCCTCATGTGCAATCTCTTTGTATTCACGAGATGGTCGTTAGAGCTTACAAACACATACTGCAGGCTGTCGTGGCAGCAGTTGATAATATTGCTAATGTCGCTGCATCAATAGCTTCTTGTTTAAATCTATTGCTCGGGACGCCATCTGCCGAAAATGGTGATTCAGATGATGAATTGAAATGGAAATGGATAGAAACTTTTCTGTCGAAGAGGTTTGGGTGGCAGTGGAAGGATGAAAGTCGGCAGGATCTTAGAAAATTTGCCATTCTTCGAGGTCTTTGCCATAAGGTATGCAAATTCGAATGCTAAGAAATCGGTGTCCTGTCTTTAGTAAGTCTTACTCTCCTTATCCGTACTAACAAATACTATTACAGGTAGGACTTGAGCTTGTTCCCAAAGACTATGATGTGGACTCTCCATTTCCTTTCAAGAAGTCGGATATCATAAGCATGGTCCCCGTGTACAAGGTATACACACTAGTTTCCAATTTTTAGATGTGGAATGTGAATTATTAGGAGGACTTCAGGAAGTTTTAACAATGGTATATGTTTCCTTAACAGCATGTTGCGTGCTCGTCAGCGGATGGGCGTACGCTGCTGGAATCATCAAAAACTTCCCTCGACAAAGGCAAACTGGAGGATGCTGTAAACTATGGAACTAAGGTAACACTCGTTGTGGTTGAATGGCACGTCTTGATATATCATTCAAGGTCTCGAACTGATATTTGTTTTAATTGTGAAGGCACTCTCAAAACTCGTGTCTGTCTGTGGTCCTTACCATCGAATGACAGCTGGTGCATACAGTCTCTTAGCTGTGGTACTCTACCACACCGGAGATTTTAATCAGGTATTAGTTTATAATTAGATTCTGAATTGGCTTTAGAAGCAGAGTGTTCTATTTCAGGAAAAAACGTTGTTACAGAAATTCAGCATGTCGCATTGTCTGACTATATTTATTTCGCTGGATGCAACACTAATTTTCTTATACTAGTTTCCTTTAACATGTATGCATCGTGATTTTCTCTCTTATATCTGTAATGTTTCCTCGTAACAGGCTACTATTTATCAACAAAAAGCTTTGGATATTAATGAAAGAGAACTTGGACTTGACCACCCAGATACAATGAAGAGTTATGGAGATTTAGCAGTTTTCTACTACCGACTTCAACACACAGAGTTGGCATTAAAGTATGTGGACTCTTATCTCCCACACAGAAAACTCTGGTGTTCAAAGTCATGTGATTATTTTTTTACGATTAGGACATTGCATCATCTTGAAGGGAGCCTTGACGTTACTGGTAAAGTTGCTGCTATGTGACCAGGAGGTCACGGGTTGGAGCCGTGGAAACAGCCTCTTGCAGAAATGCAGAGTAAGGCTGCTTACAATAGACCCTTGTGGTCCGGCCCTTCCCCGGACCCCGCGCATAGCGGGAGCTTAGTGCACCGGGCTGCCATTTCTTTTAGGACATTGCATCATCTTGTATGTGAACACATCTTTATGCAAGGACAAAATTGATACTAACTGTTTTTTCTCTATTCAGGTATGTGAATCGTGCCCTCTATCTTTTGCATCTTACTTGTGGACCTTCACATCCAAATACTGCTGCAACATACATAAACGTAGCAATGATGGAAGAAGGTCTCGGAAATGTCCATGTTGCACTTAGGTACCTTCACGAGGCTCTTAAGTGTAACCAGAGACTTCTTGGAGCGGACCACATTCAAGTAATTTCTTTCTCTTCTCTATCTATTATTATGTTTTGAGTGTCTAGAAAATCAACCCGTTGGCATCTTATTTTTAACCGAAATGTTTGTTTCCTCCAGACTGCTGCCAGCTATCATGCTATTGCAATCGCTCTTTCTTTAATGGAAGCATATTCCTTAAGTGTTCAGCATGAACAAACTACGCTTCAGATACTACAAGCTAAACTTGGACCTGATGATTTACGTACTCAGGTAAAAAGTTAGTTTGTAAGTCTGGTCATTCAGTTTGTTCCCGATGATGATCCTCGTGTCAATCTTATTCAGAATTTTCTGCAGGATGCTGCTGCATGGCTTGAGTATTTCGAGTCCAAAGCTCTCGAGCAGCAAGAAGCTGCACGAAATGGTACCCCAAAGCCCGATGCCTCTATCTCTAGCAAAGGCCATCTAAGGTAATATTCTTATCCTCCTTTCTTTCTTTTTCTTCTTTTCCTAATTTTACATTTATTATTTCGTTATAGTTGGAGGAAAAAACTCACTATATTAGTATTAGTATTTTTTTTAAGTAATCTTGCAAAAATTTGTTAGGGTTCTTTTTTCCTATTCCATACTTTCATTCTTTTTCTAGTTACTCTTGGGAAGAACCAGACAAAAGAAATGTGTGACATCTTATATATGCTAATCAAAATTTTGTTTTCCTCATTGATATAAGTAGTGTCTCGGACTTGTTGGATTACATTGCTCCAGATGCAGAGATGAAGGCTAGAGAAGCCCAAAAGAAGCAAGCTCGTGCAAAGGTTTGAGTTTCGACTTCTGTCGTCTGCATTCCCTAATATACACAACCATTTTCTTTTTTAGTTCACTTAACTGAAGTATCTTCTCCACATTTCCTCATCTATCGTACAGGTTAAAGGCAAAGCAGGGCAAAATGGGGGAATAGCGACGGATGAATTTGAGAAGGATGAACTTCTTTCTCCAACTACTCCGGTTGTGGAGAACTCCAGTGATAAAGAGAACAAGTCTGAATTAGACAACAAACAGGAACTACAGATTGCAGACTCCACACCTAAGCAATCTGATCACATTTTGGTAGAACAGACACTAGTGGAGAAAAATGATGACGTGATACAAGAGGATACGTCTGAGGAAGGATGGCAAGAGGCTTTACCCAAAGGCCGTTCAATGATGGCGCGTAAGCTTTCTAGTTCTAGGAGACCTAACCTTGCAAAACTTAACACCAACTTCACGAACGCTTCCCATTTACCAAGAGCTCGAGGTAAAGCCACTAATTTTACATCTCCAAGATCGAGTCCAAATGAATCTACAACATCGTCTACACCATCTCCTGCTTCAAAGAAGTTTGTGAAAAGTGCTGGTTTCAGCCCTAAGCTAAACAGTGCTTCTTCACCAGCTGCTTCCAATCCCAAATCGGCACCCATCAGCCCTTCTCCAACAGAACAAATTGTCAAAACCAATTCGATTGTTAGCTCAATCAGCGTTCAGGCAGCTGGAAAACTATTCTCTTACAAAGAAGTTGCTTTAGCACCACCCGGTACAATTGTAAAAGCAGTGGCAGAGCAATTGCCAAAGGACAATAGTTCAGAACAAAACAAGGAGACTGTGGCAACAGATTCAACTCTGCCGACAACAGCGAGAAACAGTGATGGAGAGCAGGCTCAGAAAGTCGGTGAAGAGAAGCAACATAATGATTCTGGTGGACAAACCTATCAAGCAGTCAATGACCCTCAACAAAGTAAAGAAGAAGGACTTGTATCAGCCAAATCTTCGGAGAGTACAAAAACTGATGCTTCTGGAGAGAAGGAAGGAGATGTCGTCACAGCTTCAGAAGTAAAGACTACTGCTAAAAACAAAGGAGTAGACTCAGCAAATAGCTCGGTTACGGGGATCCAAAATGATGGTTCTTCCACTGATGCAAATGTAACTCCCAAAGTCGATATGCCAGAAAGCAAAGCTGATAAAATCCCCGACACCTCTTCTGATTGTGAACCTGCTGCTGATTCTGCAACAGAGAAGGATGCTAGTCTTACAAATGCAGGAGCTGCAATGGAAGAGAGGAATGATGATGAACCTACCGAAAATGCTAGTACTGTGCCTACTGAATCAGACAAGCAAGGTGATTCTGAGACTGCAAAAGAAACAGCCAAGAAACTTTCGGCAGCTGCACCTCCATTTAATCCATCTACTGTTCCAGTTTTTGGCACTATCCCAGCAGCAGGTTTCAAGGAGCATGGAGGAATATTACCCCCTCCTGTGAATATCCCTCCTCTGCTTACTGTGAATCCTGTTCGTAGATCACCACATCAGTCAGCAACAGCAAGAGTTCCGTATGGCCCACGCTTGTCAGGTGGCTATGGTAGGTCTGGAAATCGAGTTCCACGAAACAAGCCTGTTTTTCTCAATGGTGAACATAATGGAGATGCGAGTCATTTCACTACTCTTCGAATCATGAACCCACATGCAGCCGAGTTTGTCCCTGGTCAACCATGGGTTCCAAATGGCTTTCCGGTCGCTCCAAATGGTTACATGGCTTCACCAAATGGTATGCCCGTTTCACCAAATGGATATGCCATATCACCAAATAGCATACCAGTGTCGCCAGATGGTTCTCCAGCATCTTTGAACGGTATGCCAATGACTCAAAATGACCTTCCAGTTTCTCCGGTTGAGGCAGGAGAATCCCCTTCAGCTGTAATTGTGGAAGGTGCTGCTGAAAACCACGAGATGGCAGAGGCTGATGGGACCGACATGGAACCCTCCAGTAGTTTGGTAACAGCCGACACAGGAAGTCAGCAGATCACTCAGGATCAGGAAGAAGATGAGGAAAAACTGCAATCTGACATGCCTAAAGATGATGACAAATCACAATGTGAAAATGGAGAAAAGTCTGGAGATACAGCTGCACCATCTGATGAGATTGCTGCTTCAAAAGAAACATGCAATTCTGTTTCCCCTGAGGAGAAAGCAACCAAGCGTTGGGGAGATTATAGTGATGGTGAAAATGAGGTTGTTGAGGTACCAAGTTGAAGAGTTACTACATTCATGTTAGTTTTGTCTCTTTACTTTACAGCAGACTGGGGAACCACTTAAGGACAGGAATTGAATTGAGAGTTACTTTCCTGCTTAGGACACACGGTGAAGTTCAAAGTCCGGTAATGCGCTGACTTCCTGGTACAGTTTGAGTTGGTTGAAGCAAGCTTGGTGGAAATTTTTATTAGCTCAACCATAGGTTGCTGCACGGAGATTTATATCGAATCCTAAAGGAACTGAGTCTTTCCATGTATGTGTTAAGTTCCATTTTTCTCTTCAATTTTGTGGGCTCGAACAGAAGAAGCAAAAGATTTGCAACTGTTTCGAGTTTGTCAGGTGATACACTTGAGATGAACAATGGTGCATGAGAAGCAAATCCTCTTCTAAAATTGAGTTCAAGATTGTTTGTTTTCTCCTCACATGCTTTTGCAATAACCAGGTTTGAATGCTGATTACTGTCCTCTAATAAGTGATGCTTTATAGTTTTAGTCTAGAACTTTTTGTATAGTAAAGACAGCTTCATGGATTTTGTAATTTATCTTACCATCCTCCTTGAGTGCAACTCTTTGGCTTCTCGAAATCTACTCTTAACTTGATTTTCTGAGCTTTCCATATGCCTTATTACTTTCACAAATATTTTACCTGATTTGATTTGTACTATTTATTAAAAATAAGGCCATTGTTGCATAAAAGAGATATTCTAGAGGTAATATCTAATTGTTGCTAGGAATTATTTGACAATCACTTGTTTAGATAAAAGGGTAGCCCGGTGCACTAAGTTTCCGCTATGCGCGGAGTCCGGGGAAGGGCCGGACTACAAGAGTCTATTGTACGCAGCCTTACCCTGCATTTCTCCCCTCTTGTTTAGATAATCAAGTATGAATTTCATAATCCAATACAGTACTTGATTTTGTAACTTTTCTCCCCTCTATGGAGTTTGACAAGATAATAAGCAATAAATATGTAAACTTGAATTTCATTTCATGAATGTCAGCACTTCAAGAGAGTCATTGGCATACTGGATAACTGAAAGTTTTAATAACATCACAAGGTACAAATATTAAATTATATACAAATGCTGGAGTATATGCATTAAAACCAACAAGAATGGTATTCTTCCTAAAATCCTAGTCATGTTAGAACATTGTTGAAGCTCAAATGCACTTTTGTAGCCATGTCTATCACTGCATACCTGCATTGTAGGTTGGCCATCCTCGACGCCAATCCATAATAAGAAGGGAAGCTACACAATGTGCTAAAGCTGCTGCAACGACGAACACATGGAAGATTTGATGGCTGTGTCCTACTAGGTCAAATGCACCAGGTTTGCATCTTTCTGGAAACCTCGTCATGTAAAATACTGCTCCAGTAGCATATAAAAGTCCCATGACTATCTCATATCCTAGAGCTACAAGTACTTGTGGATGATTAAAATGGAGGAAAAGGGCATGTGTAGCTGGAATCAATCCTGAGAAACCCATAGCAAGAAAGAGAGTAGCCCTAAATGATCTGAAACGACCGGAGAAAAGAGCCGGGGAAAGAAGGGTGATAATGGCAAGTATGCCAAATATAGTAATGGTAGTTAGGTAAAAGAGACACCAATATGGTTGAGAGCAGAATATATAGTAAATGGGGCAAAAGAAAGAGCAGACTATCATAATAGAAATGCCAGCATAATCTAGACGCCAGAAGAAGAGGCTAAATCTAAGTGAGTGACAAGCAAATAGGTGGGAGAGAGTGCTGCAGATTAAACAACTCATTGCCCCTCCTAAGAAAACAAACCAAGGCCATATGGCAACTTCATAACCATCTCCACTTACGTCTAAAATTGATTCTGAGATATGCTTGGCATAAGAATCCTGCAGTCAAATATCAAACTAGATGATGTCTTGTTCTTTTGTTGCAGCTTAAGATCTTTACTTAAGCAATACAAAACTTAGAGGTCAAATACTAATACATCAACTAGCACCCTCTTTCCATTCCATTAATCTATGAAATAAAAATCTTGGCTTTACTCAATCAAAAGACTTCTTAAGAGCCGAGATAGATTTAGGGCGAGTTGCCTGAGTTCAACTAAATTAATTACTTTTGACTTGAACTATGTATAAATATACCAACAAAAATTAAAATATATACCTATAGTAAGATGACACCCATTTTGAACCCACCGAATCTAGATCTTTGCTTTGTCTCTACTTAAGAAGCCAGAGGCGGACCTACGCTACAACGAGAGGGGTTACCGGCACCCGTACTTTACGGCAAAAATTTCGTATATACACGTTCTTTAGAAAATAGTGATATATTGGTAGTGGACACCCTATATACAAAGCAAATTTTAGTTGAATCGAAAAGTGCCACGACCTTCAAATCCTGCCTCCGCCTACCTATTACATTGATTGAAGGACTTACCTCTTTTCCTATTGCTACTCCTTGCCATGTCCCGTGGCTGACCGAATTGCTTCCTTAAATTTAGCAAGATCATATCTGTACTTCGTCTATTTATTTAAAGCTAATTACTCCACTTAGTTTTAATGTACTAAACAAAACAATAATTATATCAATTTTATAGGGTGGCGTTCCATTATTCTCCCCCATAATTAGACTCCTCATTAGAGGAAAATCTGTTATCATGACGGACAAAATTTTAATTTATTCTTTCCTTTTCTTTTAAAGAGCATCAACATTTTAAAATGTCAGTGTCTTTTATCGAATTGTCGTTTCAAGCTCAAAGGAGTAGTTGTTCCAATCAAATCCCACTCGTGTTGATTCCCACGTCAATAGGCGTGGGAGTTTATTTGTTTCCGTATATGTCCTTCGATAATCCTAATGAGTTCGTTTTTGGGGTTGAGTTAGTCCCAAAGTTCGTTTTTTTTTATTATAGTATCAGACCAGGTACAATCATTTTTCCTCGTAAACAAGATGTAATTCATTTTTTTTTTTAAAATCATAAAACAGGCAACAAAAGCAGAAGCTTCATCTTACACCATGTGGATATTAAATAAGGTTTTGATTCATCAAAATCCTTGTTTATTTTTCTCCACTATTCACGTAAGTCCTTATAGAAAAACAAAAAAGAACAACAAAGCACCAAAAGGAAAAATAAAGAAAAGCGAACCATGCATGTGAGATACAGCTAAAAATAATCCTACTAAAGGAAATTAATTATAATTAAGTACAAAAGGAAATCAGTAATAAAAATTAATTTAGATACCTATATTTCAACTAAAAATTCTAATAAAACGTTGGACCTACAACACTCCTAACTTTTCGCTGACCGTTGTACCTCTCACGTCCGATACTGTCTCTAAACTTTGGAAAAACAAAATACCCCACTAAGAAAAAATATTTACACAAATAAATACTCACTTATTATGTCATTATAGGTAAATTTTTTAGTAAGTATTACTCTCCCCGTCTCAAATTATATGTCAATGTTTCTCTTTTATATGACACTTAAGAAAATATTAAATAGGAAAAGTTTTTGACTATTTTACCTTTATTTATATCTTAAAATATAATCTCTCTTCATTTAATACTACAGTTATAACAGTCTCGTTTGTTCTGAATATTTTTGGATGTTATAGCGAAATGTTGTTATAGAGAACATATATTATAACATAACATGAAAATTGGTTTCGAAAAAGCTTGGCTTTTATAGTGAAATATTGTTATACAGAGTTGCTGTTATAGAGATGTCCGAATGTACTCATAATTAGGGTATTTATTTGTATTCTTCAAAAAAATTAATATTAAGGATAGAATAGAAAAAAAAATAATTAATTTACTCTTGAACTTCTAAAATAACAAATAATTTGGGACAATAATTTTTAGAAACCACTAACGGATAATTTGAGAGAATGGAGGAATAAATAATCTGATAAAAATGGCAAGTAAATAACCTATTACAGTATCATAAGTTAAAAATTACTGATAGTATAAGAATTGTTTTACTATATAAACTTCAGTCCGTGTATATAATATACATAATGACATTTAAGTTTTTAATTTTACACTTAATGGCATATTTTTATAGTTACAGAAACATTGTAGAGATCACAAAATATATTTAAAAAATCATTTCTTTCTTAAATTAAGTATATAATCAAACAATGACACACCTTAAAGAAGATCGGAAAACTCACCGGAAAAGAATCAGAGGATCCATTTTTCTTCATTGTTATCAACTGTCCGTCACCCGCCGGTCTGTTTATCATTATTTAACCATTTTAAACAGCTGATATTACAAAACTAGCCACAAAACAGTCTGCAAATTACTTCAACCGAACCTGAAAATGCCGGAAAACAAACTTTCCACCGTCGTCTTCTCCGTTAAGCTCATCGCCGTTAACGTTACAAATATCACAAAACCTCCCAAATGCCTGACATTTTTTAAATTAAAAAAAAAGAAAAAGAAGAATACTCAGCGAAATCCAAATGCAAATGCAACAAATTGAAACTCAAAATTGACTTTTTTTTTAAAAAAAAAAAAAAAAAAAAAAATCTCACGTCCAAATATTGAGAGTTTCATTGTGCCAAGAGAAGACGCTGAGAGCAATATCCTTAAGAGGCCATTCGCAACGATAATAATCTCTGATAAATTCATTATCTTGAAGATATTCAGGTAATGCCTCGTATTTCACCAATTTTCTTCGATCCAATTTTTGACCATTTTTTGTTACGTTATTGATTCGATCTCCTGAGTCAACTCGTTCGCCATTGCTGAGTTTCGAGATCTTCTTTCCTCCTCTCCGTTTCATGTTATCTCAATTTCTCCGACTTCGTCGATCTCAGTTTCCGGCGAAGTTTCGCCGGAAAACGTTGAATGAATGTGTTTGAAAGAATTCTAATATATCTAACTGTTACCAATGATGCGAAGCTAGTTGAAAGTTGGCCGATGCACATAAATATTTATAGTAGTAAACGACGTGCGGCCTCTAATTATTATTTTAATTATAGTTTTTTAAGGGACTTTAATAGTTTGAAGGGATTCTAAAAAATGCAGTGTAATTCCTGAAAAAGAATGAGAAAAATAATTGATCTTTTAATTAATTTTTGGATTAGTTGAATTGTTCTTTTGGTTTTCCAGGGTGTTTTTGACTAATACAAGAGAGACACATGTAAATGCCATTGATTTTGTTGGAGTAAATTTACCATTATAGGTCTTAATTGACCACAACATAAAAGAAGAATATAAACATAAAAGAAAGATTTAAACAAATAATGACTTAATTACTACTTTAATCAGATTAATGCTTATTAAGATATCTATTATAATTATCACATAAAAGACCAATATATTTTACAAATTTAGTGCAAAAAACTTAATGACAACTAACACGTTATAATGCATGGGTTTAAGTTCTACTCACGTATAAACAAAAATGAAATTTATGTTTTATGTTTTATGTACTGATGATGTTAAAAATATCTTACAACATAAAGATTACTTATAAAATACTTACAGGTAAATCTTTATGTTAAATATTAATGGATAACATGACGAAAATAATAATTGATTTGCTATAATAAGTTAAACTTTATTAATCGTGTAAGTACCTTTTATATACTCCTAGTTTATATAATTTAGTTTTAACAAAAATTTATTTC